TAAGATTTAAAAGACAATAAAATACTCTGCACTAAGTTCTTTATGTTTTCAGTCTTCCAATTCCAAATTTTAAAAAGTACTGAAATCTCTAAAATTTGCATTTGAATGTTCTTACAGTTTTCCTGGATAGAGCTTAATCAACAAGCATTTGGTATTGTTAAAATTTGAAAGAGGTCATCTTTCATACATTACATTATTTATCAGAATACTTAATTGCATTCTTTTTTCAATATTGGCTTTTGTCAGGAAGATTCTTTTTTTTTCCTGTTTATATTTATATTCAGGAATATATTCTGTATGTTCCATTAGATGTAAAATTAGACATGATGTCTGCTCTTTGGTTTCATGGGCCAATTTTCATCTAATCTGAAAAGAGTATGAAATTGGCCCTTTTGTATTTTTTATGGACAGTGGTTTCTCTCCCTTTTCTAGTCTTAACAACTACTAAAGTTCCCCACACTTTCATTTAGTTGATTAGATATGAAACTCACAACTTTAAAATGTAAGAAACCCCTACAAATCAACCAAAACAAATATTTAATCATTATATGTTTAAAATGTGCTTTTTCTTATATGTGTATGAGAGATTTTGTTTATAAAATTGTAGTTACTCACTGCTTTTGCTGACTTGTCTGTTAACTGTAATCTTTGACAGATTTAATTAAAAGGCAGAATTGTAATTCTAGTGTGGTTGATTTGTCTTTAATTGTTAGGAATATATAAAATATTTGTGGGTACTCGGCTTACAGTAGCTTAACAAATAGTGAAAGTGCTTTATAGAAACGTAAGGTGCTGTGTACAAGTGATAGCTTTAAGAGAAGTTTAATCACATTCATTCAGTTCCTACTATGTGGTTGGCACTATCCTAGATGCTGAGGTTACAAAGATCATAAAGACAAATATCCTCACCCAGTCTTTTTTCTTTTATATTGGGTCATTGGGATCTAATTCACGTACCATAAAATTCACTCTTCTACGTAACACTAGTTCACTGTTGTTTAGTATATTCTTAGAGTTGTGCAGCCGTTACCACTGTCTAATTTTAGAAGATAAATGATGGGTTTTAATCAGCATGTTAAGTCCTTCCTAATTTTTTCAAAGTTTAATTTTCTTCTGCTTTCTGTAAACACATGCTTAGAGTGAGATTGTATAAGGTCCGTTCTTAGACTGTAACTGTTCAATTAAGAGGCAGATGGCATTGGTTTCCTTTTATTTTAAAGCAGAAAAGTCACAAGTAGTTTAATAGTTGTCTGTGTCATTTGAACAAATAAAATGAATTGATCTGGAGGCATCATTAAATATTTCATAAATGTTGGACTAGGAAAGGAAGACATATTCTAAAGAACCACCAGATTTCTTGAAATAGCAGAAACCCCCAGGTTAAAATAAAGTTGTGCCACAGTGTCACCAGTTCTTAAAATAATAATAATAATTAAGTTTCAGAAGGCATTTTGTGCCTTTGACACCCCCCTCAACCTGAGTTAGGGGTGTGTGTGTGTGTGTGTTTTCCACTAATAGGTCTGTAGATTTTGTGAAAATGCTTTCAGTTAATCTCAGGGCTCCTTAAAGCACAGAATGGTTAAACACCAACCACTGCTTAACTGGGTTGCTGTAAACAAAGCCCAAAAGGAAACCCTGTGTATTCCCTGCAGATTCCCAGGTGCCTCTCAAGTGTGGGGATAAGCTTAGAAAAGGTTTAATAGGTCCATTAAAAGGTTCATTCTCTACTTGCATGTTGCATCAGGACAAGTGCCTGTTCACCACACTGCATTTATTCCTGGGGACTTCCTAGAAGAGGATGAGCCCTGGGATTTAGAGCCCACTTATGTTTAGGCAAGGAACTCTGGTAGTGCAGTGGTTAAAGCACTTGACGGTAAACCAAAAGGTTGGTGGTTGGAATCCCCAGCCACTTTATGGGAGAAAGTTGTGGCATTCTGCTTCCATAAAAATTTACAGCCTTGGAAACCCTGTTGGGCAATTCTAACACTGTGTGTCGGAATACTCGATGGCAGTAGGTTTTGTTTTGGTTTGAGTATGTTTAGGCAAAAGAATTTTGTTAGGACAAAAGTAAGGTTACAAAGCTATTGAAAGAAAGATTATGAATCCTAAAACAGTATAGGAGGTCTGGTGGCCTAGTGTTAGTGCCGAAGGCATTAGATTGCTAACCAGAAGGCTGGTGCTGCAAACCCACCAGCCTCTCCTAGGAAGGAAGGTTGGGCATTCTACTTCCCTAGTGATTCCATCTGGGATACCCAAGGAGGCGTCGCTCTGAGTCGGATCTGACTCTACAGCAATATGTTTGGTTTTTGGTTTAAGACAGTATAGTCCTATTTTCCCTGATGTCTAAGGAGAAGGATTTTAAACTGAAGAGTGGCGTGTCTTGCCAGGGGCTGGGAAGTTTTGTGGAGTTTTTGTACCAGCAAAACAAAAAGCCTCACATTGATGATGAATCCTTGATTTAATGTTGATAAAAAGGGAAACCTCAATGTTTAGCTGTGGCCATAGCATTCCTTAACAGCTTGCAAGTGTAATTACTGGCACAAACTATAGTTTCCTAGTCAAAGTCGGCCTCAGTTGAAGGTAGTTTCATATCTTAGACATGATCTGAATGCTGTGTAGTTGATGACATATTTATTTGGGAAAAGGGGGTTTTAAGGGATGAGATAGGAATCTATAATAGGATTTGGTCTGTGTATTAATGGAATGGACTGGCCTTTCTTGCTGTACTTCCCTTGTCTTTGCTGAGTAAAACAAATCCAAACTCATTGCCATCGAGTCTATTTGACTAATCTAGCAACTCTTCCTTGGGTTTCCGAGTATCTCTCTACGGAAGTAGATTGCCCAATCTTCCTTTGGAGGAGTGGCTGGTGGGTTTGAACTGCCAGCCTTGTGGTTAGCAGTCAAATGCCAAATGCCTTAGGCACTATGCCACCAGAGCTCCCGTTGGCTGAGTAGGGAGGCTGAAATTTCCTAAAGCTATTGATGAAGCTTGGAGAGTATTATAAGGGGAACTGTGGACTTTTGACATTCTTGATGGTAATATGGGATGTTAGGGGAGTTTGGGGAGCCCAAAGGATGGATGTGAGGGTAGGAGTTATATTACCTTTTTGTCTTAAAACAGTAATATACAAATTAAACCGTAATTTTCTATAATGCTGTGCCATTTGACATTTTTTTCCAAAGTGACACATGACCATTTTCTTCAGGAGGCCATTTTCACTTTTCTTGGGGGTTTGTTGTTAGCTTGAAGTTTCACAATACATTTTTTAAAATTATGTGTAGGGTACTCTATTCATTTTTTTTCCTTAAGGAAAAAAAAAAAAGAATTCTTATGTAGTTAATTGAAACAAACAATTAACTTAATCAACTGAATATTTTGTTTTCCTGTTTTAACAATTCTTAAACTGAGGTAACTGTTAGATGTAATTACTGAAGTGCATCAGTGGCTTTCTGCCCTACTTCCTCCCCCTCCTTTGCTCTCCTCCCTCACCAACAAAAACATTGAAGATGAATACTTGATTCATAATTGCTGCTGTTGAAAAGGAAAGCTTCAGTGTTTAGCTAGTTATTTGCTAATAAAAATATTTTCTTAAATGTTATAAAACCTTTGTGCATATTTCAGAACTCTCATCTCAAACAAAACAAAAACACAAAAAAGCTCACCTAACTTAAGTTGTATGGTTACTTCTCTGAATCACTTTGATTAATACTTGCCGGGTTGCTGCAGGGGCCACTTTGCCCTAGAATACTAACCAGAATTGGAATGGAATGAGATCAGGCAAGAGAGATAATGTAAGACAAATACTGAAATTTTTCTTTTACTCATATATATAAATTTGTTTATAAAACAATTTTTGAAAAATGATGTTCTGTGGTTATAACTCTTAAACTATGGGAACAAAGCTGATAAGTATTAATAATTTTGTTATTGATGCCTTTGTTTGATGTGTTTGCACGTACACACATACACCCCTGCACACACCCACACCCCCTCTGGAGTTGTCCATTTGGGTTCAGTTTCTGTACTCATTGCCTTTTTATCACCACTTACAGCTCAAGTGTTCTAGTGGAGTTTGCTCTTGGTTTGGATACCCCAAATTTCTTATAAAGTGTATTTTTCACTTTTCTGCATATAGCTTTAAAGCAGTTTCTTCCCTCTGTCTTTGGTGGTGACATTTTTTGGGGGGGGAACATGCAAATTGTGGTTTATTTCACTTTGTTTCTTGGACATCAGCTTCCCACTAACACTCTCAGGGACAGAGTTTCATAGAAGAGCTCCAGCATCAGAGAGACTGGCAGAGCAGTAGTCTTAATTTGACTTAATGATCTTTAAAATTATTATTCAGAAATTCTCACCCTGAATGTTTGTGAAATTTACATCTCTTTTCATCAGTTTCAATTTAGGGTGGCATTTGCCTGCTTAGAATTTCCCATTTGTCACATAAGAAATCCCCTCTTAATTTCCCATAGGGCAGAGTAGAGTGTGGATTTGATACAGATAGAGCTACTTGTATGCTTAGTATGAAGTAGTAGTGGTCATGAAAAATGTCTCAAAACTTCGGTAGAGGGGGATTCACATTAATGCAGAGGTGCAAAAGAAAAGATGTGCCTTTACTTAAAAAGCCTTTTCATACATTTTCAGAATGAATATTATCACAGGAGAGTAGAAGTGGTAGTAGTAGTTGTTGTTCTATGCCATTGAGTCAGACCCGACTCATAGAGACCCCTCCTTGGGTTTCTGAGGCGGTATCAATACAGAAATAGGATTGCCCAACCTTCCTTCCTCGGAGTGGCTGGTGGGTTTCTCCTTAAATAACTGAGCTGTTCTGCCACAATAATTGAAGAACTCAGTTGGATAGAGGAGTAAGTAGGTCTTTAGAGCCTGCTTGTCTGCATTGTCATATAATACCAAGTTGCTTGGGGGTGGGGTGAAGCAGCTCTCTTTAATGATTTCATGTTATAGCTCTCAATAAAGCTGTGTCAATTCCCTGACTTTGCAGACTGTTGCCCAGAAGAAAAGATGTTTGGTTTTCACAAGCCAAAGATGTACCGAAGTATAGAGGGCTGCTGTATTTGCAGAGCTAAGTCCTCCAGTTCTCGATTCACTGACAGTAAACGCTATGAAAAGGACTTCCAGAGCTGTTTTGGGTAAGATTATCTGATGTGAATAACTTGTGTTTGTAGTTTAAAAAAAATAAGTAAAATAAGTCACAGCCTACAGAAATATTTTCAAGCAAAGTGATTGATTGTAGCAATGTGCTGATAACTTGGTTAAAATTACTTATTCTAATCTAGGCTACTTAAGGCCCTTACTCTACAGCAAATCAAACAATACTAACTTTTTTTCCCAGATTATGGGGAGCTAGTAAATTAATTGAAACTCCCTTGTAGTTAAAACTAAACAAGCCTGAGGAAGGCCGTTGCGTCTTGGGGATTGCAATCAATGTCATGAAACAAAATGTGTATAAACTGTTGTATGGAAAATGAATTTGCTTTGTAAACTTTCACTGAAATCACAATAAAAATTTTAAAAACAAAAATACTAAACACACCCTTTTGTTAACCTCAGGATTTATAAAGGGACTTTAGAAATTACACTTATTTTCGCTTAGGATCCTCCAGTAGTTTTCTCTTTGTATTGTTTTTCTAAACTATAGCAATGTATTTTAACTTAACCTGCTGAGAAGGGTGGTAACCAACAAGGCTTTAACCCTTTCCTGCAACCTTTCAGGTTATATTAGCTTCCATTTTATAATTTTATTTTTCATTTATCTTTTGATAATAAACCTCTTCTAAATAAAAGGGAATTTACTTTCCAACAAATACATTATCTGTATTTTTATGTATTTACAACACAGGAAAATAAGTGGTTAGTGAAAGTTTCTCACAGATACAGTTAAAAAACCCTTTGGTGACTAGTCATAGATTTTTACCCCTTATGCAAATAGTCACTTTTAAAAAGTTACAAAGTTTCGTTTGTTTGCTGTGAAACTAGAATATCATGACAATTTTTCAAATAACACATTGTTTTACATAAAGAATGGCATTTTTCTGCTTAAGACATATCTACACATTTCAAGATTCTCAATGCCGTCCAGTTGATTTGACTTACAGGGACCCCTCCTTGGGTTTCCAAGGCCTTATCTCTATGGAAATAGATTGCCCAACCTTCCTTTCCAGGAGTGGCTGGTGGGTTTGAACTGCTACCCTTCTGGTTAGCTGTCAAATGCCTTAAGTACTACGCTACCAGAATTAGGCAGCGTTTTAAAAATCATTAAGACCAGGATCCCTTCTAGGCTTAAATTTTACTGCTTACTTTAAAAACATTCCTTGTTTTAAAATGACCATGTTGCAGTACATAGAATTGGTTCATTGGATCCAGAAATTAATTATATTTCTTTTTTTTTTTTAATTGTGATTTGGGTGAAAATTTACAGAGCAAGTTCACTTTCCATGCAGCAGTTCACATACACTTTGTCTCCTGACATTGACTACAATTTACTGTCATGTAACAGCTCCCCTCCCACTTCCTCCCAATAGTTGCCTTTTCCCTGTCTCCCTCTCTGTCTCTGTTCCTCCATGTACTCCTGTCCCCTGAGCTGTCTCCCTGTGCATTAACAGCCCATCTTTCTCCCATGATCAGAAATTAATTATATTTCTTAAACACTACATTAACAATGAAATTGGATCATCTAGGATTATTAGAAATTATATCTATAAAAGTGTTTATAGTTTTTCTGAAAATAAATGTATTTCTAAGAATTCTTTAAGGTAAAGGAGAGTAACAAAAGCTTGATTGTTTTCTTATCAGGTTGCATGAGACTCGTTCAGGAGACATCTGCAATGCCTGTGTCCTGCTTGTGAAAAGATGGAAGAAGCTGCCAGCAGGATCAAAAAAAAATTGGAATCATGTTAGTTCAACTTACTTCTTTTTCTATTGTTGTTATACCTCTATTTTTCTATTGTTGGTTATACCTCTATTAAAACCAACATTATTTAGGAAGTATAATAAATCCCTAGGGTGGAAAATCCTGACAAGAGTAAAGAAAAACACTAGCTATTGCTCAGATATAATAATCACTTAACATTTTGACATCTTTAGAAATAAAATAGTCTTAATGTGAATTCCTAAAGCTGTTAAAACCACATAGGTTCTGGAACCAGACCTAGATTTGAATCCTTCCTTTATCCCACTTATTTAAATACATTATGGGCAGGTTTCATTTATAAAAGGCAGAGATAGTAGCTGTCTCATAGGGCTGTTGTGAAGACTGAATGAGATGATAAAAAGTATAACACATGGTAATAACTCAGGTAGATGGAAACTGATTTTTTGTATTTAAGTCTAGTTTAGATCACAGTAGCATGCAATATGTGTTCAGTTTACCCTTTGATTTTTCCCACGTCACTAGACTTTTTAATGAAATCTGAATCAACAGTTATGACTAGCTCCCTTAGGTATGCCAGCTTCCATAAGATTTATAAATAAAATGTACTCAAAATGTTTTTTAAGTGAGCAGATGTTTATCTTCATCTTTTTTCTATGCTGGCCTGACCATTGTCCTTTGGGGCATTGTTACATTACTACCGTAGATTTCTGTGGGTCTTTTAACTTAAACATTGTGTTTTCTTTAATTAACACTGTATCTGGAAAAGATCCAAATGTAATTTTGAAAGTGGTGGCAACCTTTTTCACATGAGGATAGAAATCAGCAAGTAGTCAATGTGAATGAATACATAAGAAATGGGATCATACAGGGCTGGTGCAATGGCAGCTTCTAAACTGTAGGAGAATATGCTTCTTCCATTCATGGAACTAACCTGAGGGTTTAAGGAGAGTATATGGTGAAAAGAACATAAAGCATGGATCTGAAAGCCACAGTTTGACTCTTGTCTCCCTCTCCATCCATCCTTGCCCAATTACTTTAGTGAAATAAAGCAAAACATAATTTCTCTACATTATTTTCCTTTACCCTCAAACTGGAATAACAAAAATCACCCTTTACTAATTTGTGAAGGTAAAATCAAAGGTATATAAAAGCTTTTAGTAAACTGCAAAACATCATCCCATAGAAATATCAATTGGTGTTAGGCTTGATTTTTCTTAGTTGAATCATTCTCACATTCAGTCATACCTGACATTATAATCTATTTGCATCTCTTTCAAGTCGAGCAAATTCTTGTTATTACCTCCTTCAAAGAAAAAAAATGACATGTAGTATTTATTCTGTAATATCATGTGAATGAATAAAGGCACACGTAAACTCTTAAATACTCTGAATCTAAAATTGTGGTTCTCAAACTTGACTCCTTCAAATAGGCATGGGTTCAAACCAAGGGGATACACAGGTGTCATTTTAAAAATGGTATTAAATATTCAGTATTTTCTTCCAGGTGGTAGATGCAAGGGCAGGGCCCAGTCTAAAGACTACATTGAAACCAAAGAAAGTGAAAACTCTATCTGGAAACAGGATAAAAAGCAACCAGATCAGTAAACTACAGAAGGAATTTAAACGTCATAGTAAGTTTGAAATTGAAACATTACTACTTAAGAATAATTGTTCAGTTTTGATTTTTGGCTGGTGTTGGAGGTGACATATATGGTATGTGTGGATCTTTTTTTCCTTGATTTATTGTTTATATTTTTTAAAGAGTCTAGGAAGGCAGTGTTGACTGGGTAGAGAGATTTTAGCTTTACTAAATCTTTTACAACTTTTTGATTTTGATGTCAGCTAGCCACTTTCTCAAATAGTGCCTGAAATAGATGTCTTTATTGAAACCTTAATTTTCTAGAAGGTGCATTTTCCTCACTTGTTTGCTTGATTTTTATGCATAAAGAAATTGAGGCCTCAACATGTGCAGAGAGGGTACATACATTCTTTGTAGACAAAGCTGAACCCAAACCCAGGTATTCTGGAAAGTAACTCTAGAAATCAGCACATTTTGGAGTAAAACTGGCCTCAGGACTTTGAGATTTAAAAGGTGTAGTATATGTTTTGTGGAATGATGGAAGGGGGGAAGAAATGTGAAGTTAGTGTTAGGTTTACACATGTGGGGTTGTCATGAGTCAAGACTGACTCCATGGCAACTGGCTTTTTAAACACAAGATCTGAAACCCTTGGGAGGGTGGCGGTGCATTTTGATTTTGGGGTTTATATTTTAAATTTTGAAAGGTAAATAGAGTGCATATTATGTATATTATACAACTTCCAGAACAACCTCACTGGCATGTGAGGCAGCACTATTGAATCAAACACATTAGTATTTCTGTAGCAGAAATGTAGGAGTGTTCACATCAATGGAATAAATACTGTAAATAGGCCTAGTCAGTTTTGGCTACCTAGTTATAGTTTAGGCCAGGCTGGCTTTTGTGGAGTTTGATGAATCTTTGGGATTTTCTATATGATAATCTATTGTAAACAAAGTTAAGGGAGCTCTGGTGGCATAGTGCCTAAGGCATTTGACTGCTAACCAGAAGGCTGGTGGTTCAAACCCATGAGCCACTCCTCGGGAGGAAGGTTGAGCAATCTACTTCTGTAGTGATACTGCCTTGGAAACCCAAGGAGGGGTCGCTATGAGTCGGATCTGACTCGATGGCAGTGAGGAGTGTTAAAGTTAATTTTAAGTTGTTTCTTCACACTCAGTACACCTTTTATTTTCTTTTCTTGAACGGTTACCTCATGAATGGTTTGGGTGGTACAAATGGTTACTTGACCACTAGCTAGCTGAAAAGTTGGTGGTTGGAGTCCACCTTGAGCTATCTTGAAATACAGGCCTAACAGTCTGCTTCAGAAAGGTCATAGCCTTGAAAACCCTGTGGAGCAGTTCTCTTCTGCATAGGTCAAGTGGGCATGAGTTGGAATTGACTCTACAGCAACTAACAGTAGCACCAACCAAGCACTTGACTCATGATTATCTCAGTTATTTCACATGTCCCATCTCAGTTCTAGAGATTAGGGGATAGGAAACACAGAATGCTGATTTAACTTTGACCCAGCTCACATAATAGGTGGTGGTATTGAATTTGATAGTTCAACTCTGACAAAAAGCCCTGGTGGTGCAAATGCTTAAGTACTTGGCTGCTAACTAAAAAGTTGACAGTTTATACTCGCCCAGGGGCTCTGAGGGTAAAAGTGCTAGCAATCTGCATCTGGAAAGCTTGTAGCTAAGAAAACTCCATGGGACATTTCTACTCTGTCACGTGGGTCATCGAGTCAAAATTGATTCATGAATGAACACTGAACAACAACTGACAAACATAGGTTGGCCGTGAGTCAGAATTAACTCCCTGCAACTGGTTTGGTTTTGTCTGACTTAAGAACCCAGTGCTCTTTCTACAGTATCACCTTGGTTTTCTGGAATAGTATAACCAATGCCCCAAGAGTCAGAAGTCTTTCCAGATCTGCTGCTAACTCTGCCCTCTCATAAGTGGGTGTTGCTAATCCATACAGGTATATAGTAAAATATTTAAGTAGAATGGGTGTGTGTTTTAATTACACAGATTCCTTTCTTAGCAACTAGCTGTCACTCCTTCACCTCCCTACCCATAATCTATCCTTAATTTTCACTAGACTTTTCTTTCTTTCTATTTTTTTTTTAAATAAAGATTTGGGAAATGGTAGTTTTCTTTTACTTGTTGGAGTTGGACGGATTGATGATTCATAGCTAATAGTAGCTTTTATCTTTAATAATAAGGAAATTGGTATCTGGCTAACTTTATCACTTAGCTAAAGGAATATATTTAGTGTAATTTTAGATTATTGTGATAAAGATGTTAGGGGTTGGAGACTGAAAGTAAGTTCCTTTGATTAAGTTTTGTGGGTTTTGGAGGCTCAGACTCAGAGTTTTTTCCCTCCCAAGTGCATTCTGAATTGGTAGCACTTGTGTGCAGCATAACAGTTTTGAGACATTTGAATTTTTATTTATCCATTAAATGATTTCACTGTCTCACTATGCCTTTGCATCCATACACTTTTCACATACCAAGCCCATATTCCTCTTTCTGAGACATTCTCTGTGGTGTAGTGGAAGGGCACTGGACTCAGAACTGCTAAAGATCTGAATTTGAGTTACATACAGTTTTTGCATCCTACAGATGTATGTGATCCTTGAGTTCCTTGGCATCTTTGCCACAATTTCTTAATCAGAGAAATAGAGATAATCAAGTAGAAAGAGGTTTTGTAAAACAAAACAAAATTCCTATGTAGACATTCACTCTTCTTTTATGTCACCCTTCTTCCCAAAATCTGTAATGATTTCTGGGTGGTATAGAATAAAGTTTAAAATCCGTTGCAAAGTGTATTTGGACTGATCCAGTTCTCTGCATGCGCAGAATGTTGAGTTTCCATGACTTTGCTCAGTGTCCCTTTCTCTACATGCTGTCTAATCACTCCTTTGTGCCTTTCCAAATCCCACCTGCTTTTGAAGACCTAAGATATCAATTCTTTGGAGAATTTCCAGACCTACATTCTAGAAGAGATTTCTTCTTCCTTGCTGTCTATGTATATATTTAGTTCTGTATATCCTAGCATGCCAAGTATCAGGTTAAACTATGAAATTATCATTGTTATAGGTAAAAAAAGATCAAATAGCTGTAATTTCAAATAATTCAAAGATAGTAAACACCTTATAGCATGATGAGCTTTCCTACCCAGTTAGTCATGGAGTTGACAGCTGCTGTTAGGTATTTGTAGAGTCTTTGAGACATTCCAAGAAGACTTACTTTCCTTTAAAGCTTGCTGCTTTATTTATTTATTTATTTTTCTTTTCTTTTCACATGAACTCAAAAGCTATTTATCTATTGAAAGTAAATGAACATTAAAAACAGTAGTGACGCATTTCTTTGTTAGAGGTATCTAATTTCATGATATTTATGTAACTTCTGTTAATACAAAATAGTTAAGACCTATAGCTGAAAAAGTTTTCTATAGTCTGTTTCTTCCCATGCAGCAAGCACCACAGGGTTTAATGCCTATGGATACTTACTTAATAAATATTTGATTGGTTCTTTGTATCAGAGGATTATTTCACTTTTTTTTTTTTTTTTTAAGGGAAGGAGGAGTCTTTGGCCAAAGGTAAGATGTGTGGTAGGCCCTGGCCTTATTTTTTATATTATTGCCAGGACTAGGGAATAGCAGGAGAGCTCTGGTGGCAGTGCCTAAGACATTTGACTGCTAACCAGAAGGCTGGTGGTTCAAACTCACCAGCTACTTCTCAGAAGGAAGGTTGAGCAATCTGCTTTCGTGGTGATACTGCCTTGGAAACCCAAGGAGGCATTGCTGTGAGTCGGATCCGACTTGATGGCAATGGGATATGGAATAACAGTAGCATATCACAGTGACTATCTTCTCAACCAAAAGATTTGTGTTGTATAAATTTATATATAAAATTTTATGAGGGCAAAAATATTAAATCATATTTAATATCTGGGAGCTCTGGTGGCATGGTGCCTAAGACATCTGACTGCTAACCAAAAGGTTGACAGTTCAAACTCACCAGCCACTCCTCGGAAGGAAGATTGGGCAGTCTACTTCCATAGAGATACAACCTCGGAAACCCAAGGAAGGGTCACTATGAGTTGGATTTAACTCGACGGCAGTGAGTATTTAATACAGCTATAATGAACTCCCTTTTTTGTTATATATTAAATTAGGGACTATTTTTCCTCTGTTGGTAAGGTACCGTTTTTCTTTGGTTGTTTTCAAGATTTTTCCTTTTTGTCTTTAATTTTCAGAAGTTTAATTATGATGTGTCTTGGTGTGGCTGTCTTTTGTTTTATCTTGTTTGGAGTTAGTTCAGTTTCTTTGAATATGTAGGTTTACATCTCTTGTCACATATAGCAGGTTTTCTGCCATTATTCCTTTGACTACTTTTTTAGCCCTGCTCCCTTTTTATCTTCTCCTTCCAGGACTTCACAATGACATGAATGGTAAATCTTTTGTTATAACCCCATAGGTGTCAAGGGATGTATTAATCCACCCCCCCCCCCCCCCCGTTCAGATTGGGTAATTTCCAGTTTACTGGTTCTTTATTCTGTCATCTCCATTCTGCTGATGCGCCTATCCACTGACCTTTTTATTTAATGTATTTTTCAGTTTTAAAATTTCCATTTAGTTTTTATTTGTATCTTCTTTCTCTTTTCTGTGACTTTCCATTACTTTGCTGAGATTTTCTGTTTTGGTTTCAAGTGTGTTGGTAATTGCTCATGGAAGCCATTTTATCACGGCTACTTTAAAATCTTTTGTCAAATGATTCTAACATCTCACTCATCTTGGTGTTGGCTTCTATTTGTCGTCTTTTCATTCAGTTTTTTTTTTTTTTTTAATTAAAATACAGTCATTTTTGTATTAAATTATGAGAGTCTGGATCTTATTTAAACTTGCTGTTTCAACTGGCTTTGTTTGTTGGACAACAGTGTAGCAGAGGAAAGGGAGTGTACCACCTTGTCACTGCTAGATGGTGAGGTTCCCTCACTGACACCCTATGTGACGGCCTCCATATTTACTACTGAGTGAGGGTGGGAATCTAGCTTCCCATGTGATCTCCATGGACATCCTGATAGGATTGGCCTCATTGTTGCTGGATGATGGTGAAGATCCTGGCTTTGCAGTAGGCTGCCTCTGATACCATCCTGGCAGATGTGTTGGAGCACCTCATCATACCCTTCCAAGGGTAGAAATCTACGGTCTTCTTGGCCTTTGCTGAGATAAGTAGGAGTGGGACCACGGTTTTTTTTTCTGTTGGATTTGGTTAGAGTAGAGTGCTTATCGTCTAATGAAAGTTTTCTGCCCCTTTCTTTATCCTTTGGCTTGAGAGCAGGCTTTTGTTGGGGATTTTATTTTTTCTCTATATCCTTTGGCATTTCTGGGTTGCCAATTTCTTCCACTCTATTTAAATAATTTTTGAGGCAAAAGAAGAATCCAGGAAACTGAACTACCATGTCTTTCCTTGGGTTCTGAGGTGCCTAGGGTATTTGCATCTTCCTTCCATCTTTCATAGTCTTCTTGGCTTTATTTTATGTATAATGTCTAGGGGTTTTAGTTGTATTTATTAGCAGTAGGACTAGGAAAGAAGTATGTCTACTCTTGTAAGCAAAATAATACCCATTTTCTTTTAGAAACACTTTGGTATGAGTATTTTTAAATACCAGTATTCTATTTTACATCTTTAAATAGAAAATAAGTTCTTTTTCACTAACTTATTTATAGTGTTTTTGCTGCCATTTAGATGCAATTACAGGCATATGATATGAATTTAGATGTAATTCAATCATATAATATGATTGAATTTTTTTTTTCTCTTTATTGCAGATTCTGATGCTCACAGTACCACCTCAAGTGCCTCCCCAGCTCAGTCTCCTTGTTACAGTAACCAGTCAGATGATGGCTCAGATACAGAGATGGCTTCTGGCTCTAACAGAACACCAGTCTTTTCCTTTTTGGATCTTACATACTGGAAAAGGTAAAAATAACAGAAAATATTTCTCTAACCAAGCTAACCATCTTAATTATGGAAAACTGTTTTGCTGCTTCCTTAGCAATTAATGGCATTTGGCAAATAGCTGGTAGCACACATGGTTGGAGGTGGCTTAAGCAGAACTTGAGTAGAGTTTGGATTTTGTGTGTTCTCTTAGAATTGATGTAAAATTCACATGAGGGAACCTAAATTTCCTATTATGGAATACTCTAATGGAGTAAAACTCTTCCACTGGAAAAATGTACAAGTGCTAGAAATACCTTATTTTTAAAAAAACCCTTTAAAAATGGCATTGGTAAGTTAACAAGGAATGCTTAGCAGCCAAAAGCTAAGTGAATGTGGGACCTCAAAGTCCACAGAGAAATAATAGCCTAGGAAAGAGGAAATACTCAAAGTACTTAAGGATTTTCTAGTTCAAAGATTTTAGGAAGGCTAACAAATTGAAAGCAGAAAGCAAAATATTAAAAAGAACGTAAAGGGGAAAAGTCCATCTATAGACATACCAGTGAAACTATGAAGCATGAAAGACAAAAAAGATCTTTAAGTAGTGAGAGAATAAAGATATTATTTTCAAAGAAACAACAAACATACAGAGCTTTTTCAACATCAGCAAAGGAAGCTAGAAAAGGACAGATTAATATATATCTTCAGTGAGTCAAGAGATAATCACTCTCAACTTAGAATTACATATGTAGCAATTTTATTTTTTTAATGAATGCAGGTTTAATAAAGATATTTTGATTAAAGGAGGTAAAAAGAGTTTGCTGTAAAACCAAAACCAAACCCCCACTGCTTTTGAGTCAATCCTGACTCACAGCAAACCCTATAGGACAGAGTAGAACTGCCCCATAGGGTTTCCAGTACTGTAAATCTTGACGAAAGCTCAGTGCCTCATGTTTCTTCTGCAGAGCGGCTGATGGGTTTGAACTGCTAAACAGACTGACACTAAAAAAAATACACAGGCAAAAGGAAAGAGGTCCTAGATTGAAATTCTGAGAAGAAAGAAGGATGAAGAAAGAAAAGTAGTAAATATTTTGGTAAATTTCAACAGAAATTGTCTGTCTAAAATGACAATAAGTATGTGTAAAAAAAAAAAAAAACCAGAGTGAAGTGACAATAACGTAAGTTGAGGTGATACAGGTGTTAGGAGTCCAGGTGTCCTAATGTCCTTGAATATTTCTGGAATAACTTTAGACTTGGACCCATTATATTATAATTTTTAGGGTAACCACTAAAAGAGTGTATAAAACCTTTAGTGTAGAAGAGAAGAAGTAGAAATTAGAATGAAAGTATATGCTCAACGCAAAAGATGGCAATAAAGGAAAGATAAATGAAAAAAGTTAAAACAAATGGAAAAGCATAGAAATATAGTAGAAATAAACTATAAGAGATAACTAATCACAATAAATATAAATAGTAATGACTCTAGTTAGAAGATTAAAGGTTGGATAATCAAAGAAAATCCAGATAGTTTCTGTTTACCAGAGATACAGTATAATTTTTTTTTAAAAGAAGGAATGAAAAAAGATAGATCTAGCAAACAAGAAACCAAAAAGAAGTTGATATAGATTTCATATAAAAAAATAGATTTTAAGTGAAGAAAAAGACTATTAGAATTAATGATGTTTCTATATATTGATAAGAGAGCTCTGGTGGCATAGTGCCTAAGGCATTTGACTGCTAACCAGAAGGCTGGTGGTTTAAACCCACCAGCCACTCCTCGGAAGGAAGGTTGGACAATCTACTTCTGTAGTGATACCACCTCAGAAACCCAAGGAGAGGTTGCTCTGAGTTAGATCCTACTCCACGGCAGTGCATTGAGTTTGTTTACGTTATATATTGGTAAAAGCTCCAATTTCCAAGGAAGTTTAAACATTTAAAACTTCTCTGTATTTAGTAATAGCTTCAAAATGAAGCTTAAACTGGCAGCATAATACAAAGAAATTGCCAAATAAACTACTACAGTAGAGATTTTAAATATCACTGAAAAATATCAATCAGACACTCAAAAGGGATCTAGAGGTGATTGGAACAACACAGTTTACATGCTTGATAGCATAACCATGCAACAAAATGTTTTTAAACATTTTATTACACTTTATGTGGAAATTTACATAGCAAATTAGTTTCTAATCAATAATTCATACACAGCTTTTTCTGTGATACTGGTTGCAATCCCTGTGATGTTTTTCCACACCCCCTCCCCTTTTCTACCCTAGGTTTCTCATTTCCATTCGTCCAATTTCCCTGTCCCTTCTTGTGTTCTCGTTGTTGGATTTGGGCAAATGCTGTCCTTTTAGTCTCCCGTGGTGGATTATTCTAAGGAGCACATTCTTCCCAGGTGCTACTGTTTATTTTATAGGCCTGTCAAATGGCTAAAAGGTGGTGGCTTCTAGGAATGTCTTCAGTTTCAGGTTAGAAGGTTGTATTAGGGTGTTAGTCTTAGGGTTTCTTCCAGTCTCTTTCTAACCATGAAGAAAAGACATGGGGGCAGCATCTTCTGACCTCCTCTAACTTCACTAAGGAGAGACAGAATCACCATTGGCAGCCTGAGGTCCAACCTTTTTACCAACTCTGTCACTAACTATCTCTCCCATGGCACTTTGTACTTCTCTGCTTGGTTCAATCATTTGTTGCAATGGTCACACACACAACTCAGACAGTACTCATGATTACAGGGTTTATTAGGAAGTAAAAGGTTACAATTCAGGTTTAGGAACTCTCAGGAGACAATTCTTCAATCAGGACAGGCTCCCTTCAGGCGTGCCTGTCTGGCCCTTGGCCTCTCGGCCTGGCCTCTGCCCTTCTTGGACAAGTGTTTCAAAGCTCTTTTAGCTCTGCCAATAGATACACCTAAGTGTACCCCGCTCCTCCAGCAAGGCTCTTGCCCACAGACACTCCGCTTTCTCGCTCTTTGGGCTTGCTGTCACTCTGTGTTATGCCTATCCCTCGGTTCTGCTGCCACCCGTCTCTATGGGTTACCTCTGCTAAGGAGGTCTAGCTCAGGAATCTCAGGTCCAAGGCTGTGCTCCACTCTACCTCTAGCTCTTCTCTCTTGATTGTAGTGAGATACCCCTTTCTGCCTCTTGGAGGGTTCATTTTAAACGTAGTGAAGTGGCAAAACTGACCAGTATCTACATGAGGGTTCCATATACCTTATTTGGTTGGTGCCACCCCCACAAAGGGTACAGTGCACCTTATTTATATTACTAACAAGCTGTCCATATAAACAACTTACATTTGCATAATTTTACCCCGTAATCTGGTGGGAGTCACAAAGACCATGGCTAGAAGAGCCATACCAAGTAATTCACTGCACCACAGACCAGTAAGTCTGGTCCTTTTTTTTTTTCCCCCTTCAAATTTTAGTTTTGTTCTACATTTTTTACCCATTCCAACTGACATCTTCTGTTGTGGTCCTGGTCACTAGTAGTAGCTGGACACCATCTAGTTCTTCTGGTCTCAGGTTAAAGGAAGCTGTGGTTCTTGTGGGGCATTAGTCCTTTGGATTAATGGATTCTTTGAGTTTTCATTTTTCTTCATTCTCTTATGCTCTGGGGGGAAGAAACCAATAGTTATTACTTCTTAGATGGCCACTTGCAAGCTTTTAAGACCCCAGATACTACTCATTAGGCTAAGATGTGTAGAACATTATAGTTATGGACTGTGTTTTGCCAATTGATCTAGATGGTTCCCCAAGACTATATGGTCCTTATACTTCAAGTCCAGTAGTTCAGTCCCAACGTCTTAAGTAAGTTTCTATAATTGCCCTCTATGAGCTCTATTATATACATGAGTATACATGCAACATTTGCAAATTTGTGTGTAGAGATACCACCATACCTATTATTTGTATGCAATTATACTCCTGTATAATTACTGTTACTACTATTGTTGCAGGATTGTATATAGTATAGAGTTTACCATAATTGCCCTTTCTTCTTTTTTTTTTTATTGTGATTTGGGTGAAGATTTACAGAGCAAATTCATTTTCTATACAGCAGTTCACATATACTTTGTCTCATGACATTGACCACTGTTTACCACAATGCAACAGCTCCCCTCCCCCTTCCTCCCCATAGTCACCTCTTCCCGGTGTCCATCCCTCCATGCACTCCTGCCCCCTGAGCTGTCTCCCTGTGCATAAGCAGCCCTTCTTTCTCCCATGCTTGTTCTCTCCAAGGATTGTATCTGTCTGAGGTAAATGTTCCACTCATATGCTGTCTTTTGTTTGGCTGGAAACCACAGGTGTGGGTTCAATTCCAGATCTGAAGGGCATCTAGGGGCCATAGTCTCAGTGGTTCCACTGGGCTCTATTAGATCAGCAATCCTGGTACCTCCTCTCCTTTTTTTTTTCCTCCAAATGATTTTGAGTTTTGTTCCACATTGTTCACCCTCTCTATCCAGGATCTCCTACATAGATCCCCTTCCAAGTGGTTGACAGTAGTAGCCGGGGTACCATCTAGTTCTTCTGGTCTCATAGTCGTATAGGCTGCAGATCGGATGGTGTACCAGTTGCTAGGACTAATTGTTTCCATGAATTTTGGTTTTCTTCATTCTTCTTTGCTCTGGTTGAGGAGAGACCCATTGTTGCATCTAGATAATTGCCCTTTATTCTTGCATACCTCTTAGTATCTTCTTTGCCTTGGTAATGTGCTGACTTTCCCTGTGTATTGTTCTTCCCTTCACCATAATTAATACTTGTGTTGTATCTAGTTAGTGATCTTTCCTCCCTCACCCTTCTATCCCTAGTAATCATCAAAGAATGTTACTTTTTAAATGTAAAAGTATTCTTGACTTTTTATAATAGTTGTCTTATGCAATATTTGTCCTATTTTGTAATTGATTTATTTCGCTCAGCATAATGGCCCCCAGATTAATCCATGTTGTGAGAGGTTTTGCAGATTCATTGTCTAAGGATTCTTCCATGGATTCTTTATCAAAGCACAGTATATACCATACTTTATCTGTTCATCTGTTGATGA